TGACTCCTACCTAACTATATAAAGAGTAACTGAAGGTTAAATGCAGCTAATATGTCCTGTTTTAAGCCAGGCACTCACACCTCCGCTCCGCTGTGTCTCAGCCACCATCGCTCTGGCAGCAAGAGCGCTAGAGCCAGAGCAGGAGAGAGCTGGAACAAACCATTTTGGGAAGGGGGGGTTATCTATACTTTTGTTGTTAAAATGTTACGTCTCAAACAAGTACAGTACTGTATGCTTTTTATATTTTTAGTAGTGTGTCACACAAACAGCAAATATTGTCAAAAAAAGTAAGAAATCTTTGGGGGTGCTTTGATTCATTTTGGGGGTGCTGAAGCACCCCCAAAAATGGGCTAAAATCGCCCCTGGTTCCACATAAACCTTTCACAATAAAGCTCAAGATCCTGTTGAGACTTTTTAAAATAAACTAAAGGCTTTGATCACGTGAAAGAGCAGATTATTTATGGATGAGAAGTAAAAAGAAGCCGCCAGGTGCTAAAAAATAAACCTTAGACTCAAATATTAGAACAAGCTTTTCCCCGCAGCACGCCGTGTAATAAATACAAAGAAAACGGCGGCCGTTACAACTTATGTCTAAAAATGTATAGTTTTATGCATCGGTTAAAACACTCGACTCCGGGTAAAGGACGCGCAGCTTCACGCAAGTCGAGCTGCCCGAGATTCACAGAATTTACAGAAAATGTAAAATTTTTGTGATTTATATCGTTATCGGGACGATAGAATTCTAATATCGGGATATGAGATTTTGGTCATATCACACAGCCCTATAAACCACTACACTGTGCAAAAGTAAGCTTCCGCTGAAGAGTGTGTGGGCTCACTCCTAGAGATGGGGCGAGGGGCTCAGACAGTTAGGAAGGGTTCAATTTTGCACCAGTTCCAGTGATTCAGGAATTTTACTAGAATTCCTCCTATGTACATGCCACGTATGTGCAGTGTTTTGGAGAAATCTATACACACTGTAGCTTCTCTTTCTCTCTTTGTGGAGTGGGAGTGGTAGGCTTAGCTGGGACTACTGCTCCCACTCTTTTCGTTCTTTTCGATTCTACCTTTTTTCTGTAAATTGATTGTACTCAGATATTATCAGGGGAGCTAAGTATGAAGTTTTACCACAGTTTAAAAGAAGAGATTGTAAATGAAATATATTTATTTCATCTACAATTGCAGGTCATGCCGTGTATTTCAGTATATCAACCTGTCCCTTCTTCTTTCTTGTCCAGGTGGAAAGCTCTGCTGCTTTTTAATGATGAAAAACCCATGGCAGGACTGAGAAGGAATAGTGAACATCCCTCCTACCCTGTCTTGCACTCCTCACCTGTAACCTTCATCTTCTGGACTGTTTCACGAGGATATTCAGTTATGCCGAGCAGAAAGCAAAGTAAAATCCATTTCTCAGCTTTGACCATGTGAGCTCTGAGGTAGCTCTCCTAGCTCTGTTGTTTTTTGGCGATGCTTTCCATTTGCCGGTAATGTAGTAATTCAAGTGATATTAGAAGTGTTTGGTGTCATGATGGCCGCTGCCTCCTCGCCTGAGAAGCTGCTGCAGCTCCAGGAGATCGACTCCAACCGAGCTGGTAGCTGCATTCTCTCCCCGATCCTCGGCTCCTCTTCTCCTGGTCTGTCCCATGAAACAAGCCAGCCCATCTGTATCCGCTCACCATATACCGACCTCGGCCATGACTTCACCACCATACCTTTTTACAGTCCAACTATCTTCAGCTATGGTGGTCCGAGCATTTCCGAATGCTCCTCTGTCCATCAGTCTCTGAGCGCCTCTTTATTTTGGCCCAGCCACAGCCGTGTGGGGACGCCCATTACGCTGCACTGCCCCCAGGGTCGATCCCAGCAAGGCCAGTCAGCCCAGACTCCGTGGGACAGTGTTATAACAACCAGGTAGGACTGGGCGCAACACCTTGACTACGCTGTGCTCTTTAATCAGTAGTTGGCGAGCTAACGATTATTCAATTAGTACTTAACCTGTTATTTATTGAACAGCTGTTTTTAGTAACCTTTTTTTCCAGTTTTTTTCTTTTTCAACTAAAGCTATAGCAAGCTAAAAATAATCATCTGTAATCACATTACTGATTCAGTGATTTATTACTGTGTATTACTTTTAATCAACCGTTTTGCATACTTTATCTACATGTTTTTGTCTTGGGAAGAAATCATGACTCAAAACTGTCTGTTAGCAAGAGTGTGAGGAGGCGCTCCCAGGAGAGCGAGGAGAGCATGGCGTCTTCAGGTGGGAAGGCAGACCTCCACTACTGTGCTGTGTGTCATGACTATGCTTCAGGCTACCACTATGGAGTCTGGTCGTGTGAGGGGTGTAAGGCCTTCTTCAAGAGGAGCATCCAAGGTGAGACAAAACATACGTACGGTTCGAGCAATTGCTTGAATTTTAATATCGACTTTTCAAGGTTTGAAAAGTGCTTGAAATTCAAATGTGGTGCTTAAAAGTGCTTGAAACTGTATTTCTTTCACAACAAATAACTGTCTGACCGAATAGTTTTCTTATCAGAAATAAAATGAGTCGCAAAGTTGAAAAGCAAATTTTCTCAGTTGGATGCCTGTTTATTTAAGGGAGATGAACAATACATTATAATTGTACCTAATAATATCACAGATGATAGATTAAATAAATAGATTTTAAGTAGATGCTTGTGCATTCTGAAAGTCTTATGTTGAATTGAACTGAGTATGTCATCTGTTTAAAGCCTCTCCCAGTCAGTGCTGCTCTCCATGCCTGTCTCGTACATGGTGTTATTAGCACAAACACTTTAAAGGTGATAATTTATGACTTTAACAATAATACAGACAGCAATGTTATTAAACAACTTACAGTTGGTTTTATTGGGAATTAACTTTTAACCTGTTAGGCCCCCAGGGGCTTTCTGCTTGAAAATGAAATGACCAAAATAAATGGAGTATTTCTGTGCAATTACAAAGTCTGTGTAAACAATCTTGGTATGAAAATAAAGCTAACACTTGTGAGATGTCAGAGGTGTAAATATTACTGCAGATTGATTGGTAGAGCAGATGTTCATGCACTACTTAAAACTGTGTCACTGTTGCAAAGTCCTGATTACTTCTCTCAAGTTGGTTGGTGTTTCACACCACTTCTGTTTTATTTTGTACTTTATCCAAGTGTCTTTTTTGTGCTTTTCTTCACCAGTTTCATATTAATGTTGACGTAACTCCTTTGTGCGTACCCATCCAAATGTTATGTTTATGCCTTACTGACTTATTAGTAAAGAATAAACTAATAAGTCCTCTAGGATATAACCTTACACCCTAGATCTTGGTGGTTTTTGGATGCTCCTGTTTTATTAGTTGGTAGCGCTGACACTGAGTCACTACATTGCACTTTCTGTGCAGTATTAGCAAGTCTGCGCAGAGCTCCACACGCGTAAATGATCTGATGTCCTCCTGCTGACCTTTGTCTGATGGCTTTGACTCATCCCTGCTGGACCTCGTGGCTCTGTTAGTGGATTTTTTGTGGATAGCGGTCACTATAATTCCCATCTTTATATCTATAATATTTCAGTACTAGTTCTGCTCTTTTATTCCCATGCTTAATAAAGTTGATAATATTCCACGTTCAAGTAGAAATTTGTGACATCCATACTGTTCTCACACAGGCCACAAAACAGCTGGACAAAGAGTAGTTTCCCTGACTTTCATGTGTTTTGTGATGGTTTTATCTACCCATCCAAAACGTCATTTTCCCAAACAGCCTTCTTTGGCTCTTAGCTGTGTCCTACATGGTATAATTGCTCCCATCTCTATTTGGGGGAGACACACTGGAGCTATTATCACTTCAGTACGAAGCTTTGTTAGGTTGTCACCTGGAGGATGCTACTGATGCTTATCAGGGAAAACTTTGTGCACTTAAACGTCCAGTTTCCCAGAGCTTTTTGTACTCACTGCCTGACAGATTGCCTAGTCAAAGGCTTGCCTGGAACAAATCCATATCCTGTGGTGTCAAGTCATTAACTTCCCATTATAATCAAAATTTATTTCATAATGATAATTTGAAGCTAAAAACTTGTATGTTGCCAGTTTAAGCTTTATTTTACAGCTGTTATGACATTATCTTGTATTACACAACACTTTGAGCTTTTGAACAAATATATTCAAAACTAGACCATTTAACCATTACTATACATTAAGGCAAACCAGTATGCGTATAGCATGCTAAACTGAATTTAGATGGTAATTTTGGATCACAGTTGATATTTTTCTGAAAATACCACTGTTCAAACATTATGTCTGCCTATGCAAATTAAGTCTTTGTGAGCAAAATGGTAAATGGACTGGTTCTTATATAGCACTTTTCTACTCATCTGAGCACTCAAAATGCTTTACACAACTTGTGCATTCACCCATTCACATCTTTCTAAGTGCTTTATAGCTAATATTCACACACATCCATACCCCGATCGATGCATTGGAGAGCAATTTGGGGTTAGTATCTTGCCCAAGGATAATTGGCATGCAGACTAGGGGAAGCCTAGGAATCGAACCACCAACCTTCCAATCAGTAGATGACCTGCTCTACCACCTGAGCTACAGCCACCCCCAGGGTACAGAGAGAGGGCTTGAACTGACCACAAAGGACTGCTTGTCATCAATGATTTTTGCTGGAAGTTGCACAAGCTGGAAATTCTCAGTCTGCCTGTCTGTTGTGCCGGGATGCAACTTTGCATTGTCTTTTTCTTCATACAACTCATTTTTCATTTTTTCTATCCAACTTTTTATTTTTGTCTCCCTCTCTTTTTGTTTTAGGACACAATGACTATATCTGCCCGGCAACCAATCAGTGCACTATTGACAAGAACCGCCGTAAGAGCTGCCAGGCATGTCGCCTTCGCAAATGCTATGAAGTTGGCATGACCAAATGTGGTTAGTATGATTATATGTATACATTGTTTCATATTTCTACTAGTTCCGATAGAAGTTTTTGCATTTTGTTTTTCTGAATCCAGCCAACAGTAACTTGATGTTCTGATTATTACCTAAATAACTTGGTCATGTGATAATGTTTGATTTATTTTATCTGAAATTTAAAAAAAAACAAAAAAAGACAATTTGGACCTGCTAGGCTGGCAGTATGAGTTGGAATCTTTGATTGAAAGCGAACACAGGATCAAAGGGGAGGATATTGATTTTGGGACTCATCAAATAATTTCGCACACTTGGAAAGAACGTGGTTGGAAGATAATGATGTAGCGTTTTATTACAGCACATAAATATGTCAAATATGAACAGTCCACAGCGAAAACAGCAAGTTTAATTCACATATTATTAATGTTCCTTTATTTGCTGAGTAGCTGAGTAGATTAGTAGGTTTGACTAAATAGCAGTTTAGGCTCAGAATATCACCGTATATATAGTTTGTGCTGAGGTTTGTGTACTTATACACTGTAAGTAATCATGTGTGTGACCCTGTTCTCAATATTGAATGATGTTATTACTAATTATACAGTATTGATATTATACATATGCTTGAATATATTTTTCTAATGTTCTTGTTTACTTGTAAGATCAGTTTATTTCATTTTTTTTCTGTGGACTCGTACAACAATATGACCATAGAACTATGTTTCATTATATGCAAGAGCAAGAACAATATATGTTTTAATATTCCATAATATTTTAGTATTTGTTTGCCTATTAATTCACATTTCATTAAAGAAGTCTTTATTCCTACATTTGATCTGCTCTTGTAGTGTTTTGGTTAAAACGTGAAGTTTTAATTATTGGTATCACTGCAATGATGCAGGGATATCTGGATAGAAATAAAGTTTAATCCAAATGTTGTTCTTTAATATGGTTCCAGCGCTTTTACTTTCGTTTTTTGTCTACATATGAGAAATGTGATCTGGCTCTAAAAGCCACCAGTGGCTCTTATATTAATTTCCACATAAAACAAATCTTTTCAACATCTGTTTGCAGTAAATAGGATTCCCATAACCTAAATTTGGATTTCAGTTTATTCCGACATTTTGTTTTTCCAAGTAGGAACTACATGGTGCCAGATCTTGTAGCCTGTTCAGTGATTTCTGTCTGTAACTGATGGACTTGCTGCTTGCCATTTTTGCCTTTTGCTTTACCCTTCTTAACCCCCCAAAATTGCAATCATATATAGAAAACAACAGCAAAATTGAACAGATATGGACAGTCTGGAACATGGGTAAAAATTGGCTATAATTTAATGCTTGCCTTGTTACACACAGGTATTCGAAAGGAGCGTGGAAACCACAGGAATTTGCAGGCAAGGCGGCTAACCCGTCAATCCTCACAGGGCAAAACAGCTGAACCAAAGGGCATAACTGAGCCCGAAAAACCTGCACTGACCCCAGAGCAGCTAATTGAGCGGATATTGGAGGCGGAGCCGCCAGAGATCTACCTCATGAAGGACGCGAAGAGGCCGCTGACCGAAGCAAGCGTCATGATGTTGCTCACCAACCTGGCAGATAAAGAGCTGGTTCACATGATTAGCTGGGCCAAGAAGATTCCAGGTGTTTGTTTTTGTGATATTTCTAAAAAAAAAAATTAGATGAATTTATATAATTAATTATTTTTTTTTATCTTCTTCAGGTTATTCAGGTCAACAAAAAATCTAAATGAATGTTACATAGCAATGTGGCAATACCACTTAATTAATGGTTTCATGCCAGAGTGCTGACACAAATAAGTGTTTCACCAATAGAGCAATTCATGTCATGAATAAATAAAGTGTAGTATACACTGATGAAGAAAATATACACTTCTTTTTGTATTTTTTAAGTGACATTAATGTGATTGATTGTGGGTCTCCTATTCAACCAAATCCCAAAGATGTTCTGTTGGTTTAAGATCTGGTGACTGAGGAGGCCATATGAGTACAGTGAGGTCATCGTCATGATCAAGAAACCAGTTTGAGATGATTTGAGCTTTGTGATGGTGTGTTTGCCTGCTGCAAGCAGCCATGAGATGACGTTGTAGTTAGTACATTATAGTTTCGGTTATGAAGGAATATAAATGGTCAGCCACAAGACTCGGGTAGGTGGTGGCATTTAAACAGTGCTCAGTTGGTACTAAGAGGGCCAAACTTGTACCATTACACCAACCTGAACCTTTGATAGAAGGCAGGATGGATCTGTACGTTCTTGTTGTTTACACCAAATTCTGGCTCTGGCATCTAAAGTTTTGACCAGGAAAAGTTTTTCCAGTCTTTTCTTGTCCGTTATCTTGTGCGAACTTTAATCTTGGCCTCATGTTTTTAGCTGACAAGAGTGGAACACAGTGAGCTGCTGTAGTCCATCTGCTTCAGGGACATATTGCGGATTCAGAGATGCTCTTTTACATATCTTGATTGTAACATGTGTGATTGTAACAGTTGTTGCTGACGTCTTGTCAGATCACAATGTATTTTCTCTCTTTCAGACTATTTAGACTAGACTAGTCTGGCACCAACAACCATGCCATGTTCAATCACTTACATAACATTTTTTTTCTGATTTTTGGTTTGAACTCTCGCAAGTTGACTTCTATACTTTCTTAAAAGCACTGAGTTGCTACCATTTGAAAGCTGATAAGAGTCAATATTTGCACTTGACAAAATAGCTGGTGAGTATATAGCACGACACACAGTAACAAAGTTGCCACAAAATCATTAATCGTTAGTTCTCATTTACAACATTTTGATTAGTTGAATCTTGTATTAGAGGAAAGCTTTTCTATATAAAACAAGGGCATTTCAAAGTGCTCCTGAAACAGCTGTTATTATGTCTAGTTTCCGTGTTTCTTGAGTTGAGAAATGCAACTAGTTTGAGATTATACAAAGAGTCTTTCTACAACATCAGTAAAAATTGCTTTAATGATAACAGATCTAGGTATTTTATTCTTCTCGCTGAGCAGTTCACTGTCTCAAGACAGGTAATGATGTGTTTGTGGCTTGGCACATTTGTCTCTGCTTTATTTAGCGTTTGAGCCTGTAAAACACAGCAGCAGTGATGGAACTGGAGTCTGGCAGTGAGCTGTGACATAACAATGTATCACAAAGGGTGGATTTCTGTAGCCCTGTTAATGAATTCTGACTGCTTGTGGCATGTGGTGAATTTAACCAATTTAAGCCTGACAAAGTGAAGTAAATCATTACAGCAAAGAACCATTTAATTTCAAGCTAAAGTGAATTGTCTGGATGCTCATTGTTGTCGTAGCCTGTGACAGCAGTACAGACCATACAAGTCTGTGGTTTTTCTGTTGCCTGTTCAGGATTTAGCACTGAGCACTTTATTAGGAATGTGTGTTCATATGTATGCACAAATGATCATATTGAACGTGAGAGTAGCAGTAAAATCATCTTTGTAACTTTGATTCTGACATGATTGTTGGTGCAAGTCGATTTAGTTTACTTGGCGTTTTGCAAAAAGTCATTTAAAGAGTGACAGATCTTGTCAAAGCTCACAGAAAGCTTACGGTAACTTTACACCAGGGGTAGGCAACCTTTCTGATGACGAGTGCCATTTAAAATTTCCTCAGAAGTCAGTGTGCCATATGTGTGCCTCGGGTCTCCCCTCCTGCCTCCCCTTTCTCTCATCCACCTTCTGGCTTCCACCACTTGCTAATGTTACTGAATCTGAGGAAGCACCGCCACAGCCACCACCAAACAACTGAGTTATTTTTACACACCGACCAGCATCTGGCCAATCCACCACCTTTCATTGTTTATACCGTTACAAAGAAAAAAAAAGTCACCGGGCCACCGAGCAAATGCCCAGTATGCCCGATGGCCAGTCCAGCTATGGTCGTGCCATCAGTTGGCACGCGTGCCTAGGGTTGCCGACCCTTGCTTTACACCATCAGAAGACAACTTTCATTCGCTAGGTGATCACATCGGTGGTCGCCCAGTGGGAGGGAACCTCCATCTATCCATGGACTGACTGATTTTTCTCTCGGAGTACTCAAAGCGCTCTATACAACATGCCTCATTCACTCAATCACACCCATTCTCACAAGCACTTTATCTACACTTAGTGCTTTCTAACGACATTCATACACATTCATACTCCGATGGATGCATGGGGTTAGTATCTTGCCCAAGGATACTTGACATGCAGACTGGAGGAGCCAGGGATCGAACCACCGACCTTCCAATCAGTAGGTGACCTGTTCTACCTCCTGAGCTACAGCCATCCATCCATTTTCATCTGCCATTGAGGCAGTGTCGCGGGGGCAGCAGCCTAAGGAGATGAGCCCTGACCTTCCTCCCTGGCCACCTCCTCCAGCTTTTTCTGGGGGAACACAAAGGCAGCATTCCCAGGCCAGTTGAGAGATCTAATTTCTTCAGCGTATCCCAGGTCTGCCCCGGGGCCTTCTCCTGGTGGGACATGTCTGGAACGCCTCAACCAGGAGGCACCCAGGAAGTATCCTTGTCAGATGCCTGAAACACCTCCGCTGGCTCCTTTTGATGTGGAGGTGTAGCAACTCTACTCTGAGCCCCTCCTGGATCGGTAATTAGTGACAAAGGGCAGCCCTGGCAGGCCCTGGCACTGTTTGTCCATCGGGAAAAACTCCAGTGTACAGGCAACAAGCCCACCAAACCCACCGCCTTTCAGCAAGGGCTACTCCAGACTGAGACACAGTCCTGTCTCCAGGACACTGGTTCCTGTTTTTTGGGTCTTTTTCATTTATCTAACTCTTAGTAAATTTAATAGCTCTGTTTGTCTATTGTTTTTTGTTTACACAGAGTGTCTACAACAAGCTACTGACATGTTAGCTTTGAGTATCGGTCAGTTCTTACAATTGAGACAAAAAATGAAAAAGCAACATTTTGTAATTATCACTTTAAAATCACTAAGTGATTATTACAATTATCTGCAATTATATATTTGTAAATTGACAAATAATTGCTCATCATAATTCCATTTTTATCCACCCTGAAAACATGTTAAGAGGTGCCTCATAATCAGTACTTGTTATTATGTTTTTTAACCTGTTTGCTGAGACGGTGCTGTGTTTTTGTTTTACTTTGTTGGTTCGTTAATCAGTATCAAGTCTCACATTGCTCTTAATGTCACTGCCTGTAAAAAGGTGGTCTTTTTAGGGGTTTTGCTTGTGTAACCGACCCAGAGTTTGGGCTGGGAAAACAGATTAAATGTTCCTGCAAAACAGGGAAATGATGAGACAGAGACGACTGATGAAGTTTCTCTTTGCCTCGCTTCTGCCATATTGGAGAGGAGGACCTATGACCTCGCTATTCTGTCTCACTGAGCAATGCACCACCCGGAGGCTGGGGGGTGCAACTACCTCATTACACATAGTTCACTTCGGTGACAAATCTCTCTTTTTTTTTTTTTAACAAGTACTACTTCTGATGGGATCACACATTAGTGTGTCACACTTGTTTTAGGTTTTATTTTATTGTTTTTTATTTATTTATTTATTTTTGGTTTGGATATTTTTAGGTCAGCCTTCTGTTTTTGCATTTACAGACAATGAGATGGAAAAAAATGCTTCCAACCAAGTTGTTTACCTCCTGTTTTTCTTCATGCTGCTGCCTAGTTGCTCATTAGACTCGTTAAAGACAGATTTTCAGGTTTCTGTGATATGCTTCATCTGCTCACAGCTATGTACTTTATGATTACATCCTTTTCTCAGGGTTTGTGGAGCTTAGTCTCGTAGACCAGGTCCATCTGTTGGAGTGCTGCTGGCTGGAGGTGTTGATGATTGGACTGATGTGGAGGTCAGTGGACCATCCAGGAAAACTCATCTTCTGCCCTGACCTCAGCCTGAGCAGGTACCACCTCCTAAACCTCGTTTCACTCGCCTGATTAGAGGCACTTGCTTCTAAAAAGAGTTATTAGTGGTTCCCAGTGTACTTACACACAATATCTTATGATAATACACCAAACCTCTGTATGTTTGTTTCTGTGTCTGTCAACTCCTCCTAGACCATCAGGGCTTGAGCAACCAAATCTTGCTCCTCAGGCTCCTAAAGGTTCTTAGCTACATCACATATTACGATGGCATCATGTTGCCTGGCAACCACCTAGCAATAGGCTACACCAACCCGTTTTTAGCATTTAAGAACCTAAAACACCTATTCTGGGGTTTGTTTTGGTGATCTTTTCTGCCAGCTGAGAGACATCACTAATGTTACTCTCCTTCCTCTTGTGTAAAGTGCTTCAGAGTTAAAATAGCAGATCATCTTTTACTTCTTCGTGGGAGTTACATCTGTGTTATGTCTGGCTAATTTGTGGAGGTAAAAATCAAGAGTGTGATGAAATTAAACAACATTTTTGTCTTTTTAGAGAAGAAGGAAACTGCGTCCAGGGCTTTGTGGAGATCTTTGACATGCTGATAGCTGCCACAACCAGGGTGAGAGAGCTCAAGCTGCAGAGGGAGGAGTATGTCTGCCTCAAGGTCATGATCCTCCTCAACTCCAGTGAGTGAGCATGTTTGTGTGGGCGGACATGAGGTCCTTTCTCAGTGTGATTTGCTGCATGTGCATAAGTGAGACTGAGACTGTTTGTTTGTCAGAACATGAACCCACAATGGGGTGTTAGATTGGTATTTCAGCATGTAATCTTGTGAGCCTACACATGGTAAGCATGTCCATAAACCCAATAACTAGCAGTGAAGATTCCTGTTGGAAACACTGTGTAGTTTCAGTCTGTGCTATGAGGACTCAGAGGTTCTGCTAAAGTAGCTAGAGTAGCAGGTGGTACATAAGTGAAGATGAACACGGTCAAGGCCTCTCTGGTGAGATCATTAATGTTTTCTTTTTAATTGCCTCCACAAGCGAAGTCAGACTTTTGTCTGACTTTGCCGACTACAGAGCCGTTTCACCTTCAGCCCCAGAATATAAAAAATCAAAAACGAATGTTATTAAAAGTTTGTTTTTATTAAATCAGAGCTGACTAAAATGGCCAAGACTACAGACTATGGTTTAGATTCAAGTAAGAGCATTTACTGTCACATAGAAGAAAACCACATGATTACTTGTGGGACCTAGTCACCCTAAATACATTTAAGATGATCAGATCCCAACAAACTAAATGTGAGGCAGAGTGTGTTTTTGTGTAAGAAGTACTCTTAAAGTGTCTTTGAAATGGATCTAACATTCTTGGACTTGGACACTTGGATACGCAGCAAAAAGCACACTCATGCAATATGAGAATGTAATCAGTGTGAAAGTGTGATTTTTATTTATTTTTATTTATTTTTAGGGCACTCAAGCCTCACGTTAGCTGGGATAATGTTAGCCTTTAACCAGCTGCTGTTGTTTAGCTGGCTTGTTGTCAGGATGGTTGCATGTCTAATCTGTTGACTGTAAGTAATTGTGACAATATCAGGAATAAAAGAGCATGTTTATACACGTTTTTGTGTTTTAGCACCCTGACTTTAGTTCAGGAGATGAGGCTTGAGGTGAGTAGGAAGAGGATTAGGTGGAAATGACAGAGGAGAGAGAGCAGTGATGGAGGAGGAGACATGATAAGAACAAAATGATGAAAAATGTATTGAAATGTTTAGTGTTCACATATAGTTTAAAAAGAACTTATAATGCATGCTATGTATGTGTCCACTCATTCATTTTATTTGTTTTTTTTTGGGGGGGGGTTGGTAGTTGTGCATCCGTACAAGAGCACGCTGCTTTTGGAGCTCAACATTTGTTTTGTAAAAGGAATGACTAGGTGTTTGCAAACTATAGTAAAGGCATTATGTTAAGTTGTTATTAAGCAGTTCAACGTCTGGCATAGTTTAAAAGGAAAAAAAGGAGTTTACTTGATTAGTCAGTGGTTTGGGAGAGCAACCAGTTAAACCAGCCACCCTACCACTAAGAAACACCTGTGAGTACTGTCGCGTTTTTTGTATGCAGTAAAACTGAGGTGTGTCATCCAGATCTTTGCACTGTACAATCCACTCACTCAGAATACACACACACACACAAACAGAAAATGATCAACAAATGCATGGAGTTGAAGATCATACTACTTTATTTAGTCAATTTAAAGCCAGTCCCTCTGACATCTGCTAATTCAATACCATGAAAGCCACAGACCAGAACCCCTGTGTTACTTATTAACTCTCAAACAGTGGAAAACCCCATGGTGATGTTTTGTGAATAATCTTTTTGTAGTACTGGAAAAAACTAAAACCAAAGTAGATCAGAATGTTCCAAAAACAGATTTAAAGTTCTGCTGCCAGAGATAAAAAGCAGAGAGATTCTAACCAAGCAAATGTCTAGACGAGAATTTAATGACCCTCAAAATGAAAACTACTCCTTAAAGAAGGAGACAGGGCACGTGGGGCAGTCCAGTGTGTACAGACATGGCACCATCTGTGAGACACTCTACAAATATTTGAACAAACTGTACGTTCGATGCTTTGGCAGGATGTTTCTAAATGTTTGAGCATGTCCGCCCTTTTCAAACTACATTTGCAAGCACAACAAGTGTTTATTTAGTGTTGAACAAAACACGGGGATTTTTCAGACTTCTGCTACCAGAAAGTTTCACAGTAGGAAAAGGGGTGCAAAGTAAAATAATTTTTCCCCTGGCTCATAATGCACCTCTGGGCGCAGACTACATGCGTAAGCACCTTTTGATCCATTTATAGTTGAAGCGAAGAGTCAATGTTACCTTGCCAGAAGTCTTTTGCTTCTGTCCTTTGTATTTTATGCCAAAGTAAATAAAAAAACACTTGAAAAATATTTGTATTTATAACGCCTGGTTACTCTCCTTTGAGGGAAGGCCAGTGGTTGTTTTTGAGGGTGTTAAATCTTTTGTATGCATTTTATTCATGCGCTCTGTAAATAAATTGTGGATGAATTCCATTTAGCTGGTTCAGTCTGATGTTACTGGTGGTGTTGCACACGCTGGTTCTCTGGGTCATCTGTCCTTTTCCTGCTGTGACCGAATCAAGATGTCTGCATGAAAAATCCAGTTATGCTTTTACACAGTTTATAAAGCCACTTCTGATGAATAAACTCTTTCTTCACAGCTTTACAACTACTTCTTTAAGAAAGATCTCAAAATGTTTTATTTACTTTAGCTTCCAACATTAAACTCCTATATTGATATCTGTAATATAGTCTTTACTGTGTAGACACACTTAAAGTGTATTTCTTCCCATTTGCTTTGCCAGACATGTGCCTCAGTTCCTCAGACAGCAGCGAGGACCTGCAGAGCCGGTCCAAGCTGCTGTGCCTCCTGGACGCTGTGACGGATGCTCTGGTGTTGGCCATTGGCAAAACCGGCCTCACCTTCCGGCAGCAGTACACCCGCCTGGCTCACCTGCTCATGCTGCTTTCACATATCCGTCATGTCAGGTAACACGGCCCAACATCATGCTATTAAAACTTGAATATTTTTAAAAAAGGGAGACAGATCTGTAAATGAATTTATTTTACAGCTCAGATTTATTCAAAGCCCTGCAGTGTTATGAAACACATTCATCTGACCAAATTGTTCCCATCAAAAGTCATTACGTTAACCTCTCGCCCAACTTTGTTTTCAATGTGCAGTAACAAAGGCATGGACCACCTCCACTGCATGAAAGTGAAGAACATAGTGCCTCTCTACGACCTGTTGCTGGAGATGTTGGATGCCCACATCATGCACAGCTCTCGTCTGCCTCACAAGCCTCCTCAGCAGGAGGAGGATCAGAGTGAGGCTCCTGCCCCGCTGCACAGCTCTGCAAGCGGACCTTCAAATACCTGGACTCCCAGTAGTGCTAGAGCTGGAGGTGAACCCCAGTAGTCAGATCAGAATTCCGATGCGAAAGAATTTTCACTGCTTTGCACAAAACTAGTTCACGGGAATGATGAGTATCTTCACAGGAATGAGAGCTGGATTCTCTGATCTGTCACTGGTGAATCTTTGACACGCTGCGCACAGTTTCTGGTGAACTTTCAATATCTTCAAAGTTAACCGCATGGAGCACAGATCACGCTTCCAGGATTCTTTGCTTTGCCACTATATTGGCAAAAGACTAAAGCGAAACAGGAACAAACTGTCAAACCTGGTCACTCAGCTGTACTCAGATATGTGACAGGACCATTAAATCAGTCAGTCGACCAATGAAAACCCATGCAGAAAAACAGATCACAACTGATTTGATCACACCTCCCAATGACAGTATGTCTTTTTAAACTGATTAATCGGAGCCTGTACAGTTTGCTGGAACAAGCAGCTTATGTGTAACTGATTCCCAAAAACAAGCACCTGCAGAAAACTCACACTTTAACTCTAAGTTAAAGAAATCTTATACTGTGAAACTTACAGTGCTCACTGGCGTGTTTTCTTCAACAAATCTCAGTTTGTGTTTCGACTTTGTATGTGTGGATGTTTTAATGCTTAAGTGGCTTTTCTATACACATGGACTTTAATGTCGAGGCTGCAACAAAAGACTGTCGTTACTGATTATTGCTGATTACTTAATCAGTTTATTGTTGGGTCTATGCAGTAAAACACTTACGATTTCCCCACAGACCAGGGTCACGCCTTCATCTGCTAAGTTTTGTCCATCCAACAGTTGCAAATGAAAATTTATTTAGTCAATGAATTTCAAAAATCCATTGATTTTTATTCTTATATTTATTTTGAAGATGTAGATGCATGAATAATAATAAAAAATGCAGTTTGTACCCATGTTTAGGCAACCCAAGGAATTATGACACATAAATAAGATAATACTTTATATCCTCGTGTAAGGGATTCAAATTTCATCAAGACTGCAGTATATCATCACCTTATAACACAAAGATAGTTTAACTTCCTGGGATATCAATCTGTCCACTTAAGAAGCATAAGCCATTGTGAACATCATCCACTTGCTTTGGTGCAACCAGTTGCGCTGTCGGTGCAACCAGTTGCGCTGTCGGTGCAACCAGTTGCGCTGTCGGTGCAACCAGTTGCGCTGTCGGTGCAACGATGTAACCTCCCAACATGAACTGGTTTGGAACGTGGTGGCCTTAGACCACTTCTCTCTCCTTATGCCTCCTTACAGATCTTTCTCTAGTGTCACTTTTTTCACTTGTGTCACTGCTAGTGACACAACACAGCGCCTGCTGCACAGGCAGTCTAACTCCTCCAGGATGGCACATTCATACTCGCTGTTACAAGAAGGTTTGCCGTGTTTCCAGGATGATGACTACTAGGAGACGGGCAATTACCCAAGGAGAGCTGGACAGGACAGTAAAAGGGGTATCAATGCAGCAGCTGAACTGATATCGTCTTCTTATTATTGTGAGGAAGAACAGGAGGAGCCCTATAAAATGACCTCCACTGGACTATTCGAGAGCATGTTCCTGACCAAACTGTCAGATGGTTGATAAGGCTCATGCCACCGCCTGCAAAACCATTCCCTTCTTGCAGGGGTTGCCATTTACACCAAAGCAGGTGAAATAGATTCATGATGGATTCTGCTTCCTGACTGAACATATTGATGTCCCTGAAGTTTACCTGACTATCTCTTATATTGTGATTATTGAGCGTTTCCCTCATTTATTTTTTGAGTAGTGTATATGATCATTAAAGGCAGTATTTGCACAAAGCAGTTACTTTGTTAACATCTCATGTATTTGTTGAATCGCTCACAGAGTTGTTTGATCTGGGTTAAAATTAACGAGAGATCTCCAGCTAAGAAGGTGATTTCTAGCAGAACTTAAGCTAATTGGCAGTGAATGTGGCAACTCTGATTTTCTTTAGCTTAAAAAACAGACGTGAAAACAATTCCTCAACTGAATGCCGATTTCTTTTTTTTGTTGTTGTTGTTAAATACAGTTATTTGAAAAAGAAAAATATCCTGCTGTGTTGAGCTGGTGCCTTCACTTGCTCTCAATGTCTGTGCTTTATTGTCAAAGATGCCTTACTGTTGCTCTTATGCCAACGTAGCACTTCAAAAAAAATTCTATTTTTGTAGTTTTGAACTTGCTACAGTTGCTCTTTGTGACATGATGCAGCTTCAACAATCAGGATCACTGCAAGGTTCATCAAACAGGCCTCTGGACCCTCTGGACTCTGGTCCTTCTGTACAGCCTGTGCTTTTACTCTCATCAGCCTTTGTCACCAAACTGTTTTAGCACTGTGCACAGGTACTTCTTGTTCAATTCTGGGGAAAATGTTTGATGAATGTGTAAATCAGTAAAACAATACGAAAGAGGAGCCTTTGTCTTATTTATTATTTATCAAACGCTGTGCTTGGCCAGCTTGCAAATGATCAGAAGTAAATGTTAATGACTGACTATTTAATTTTGAACACTATCTTTAGTCTAGACTACAAAATTATTTTTTAATAAAACAGAGATACTATAACTAGGTAAATTTTAATTTGGAAATTAAAAATATATATATATATATATATAAAATTCACAAACTCGAGAAAGAAAAGCACCAATTCATTTTCTTTAGCCAAAAATGATTGGTGATTTTGGGGCAAACAAAACGAATCCTTTACAAAGGGTAGTGTAAGTCACAGAAAACAGATGCCGGTGCCACTCGGATGGACCGGGTCATGTGTAGCACATTAACAAGTGTTCTCTGAACCAAATAAATTTTTTAAAAAAGGTCCCTCGAGTAGTCTTCCCAGAACTTCCAGTCCTAATCTCTAACTGTGATTAACTTAAGACATTGAATGATGTTATCCCTGAGGGTTTTGTTAGTGCAAAAGAGTACTGTGGGCTTGGCTTGATAAATGAAAACGGTTCCTTTACTAAAGGGACCCCTCTTTAAATCCAGCATCTGATCAGCACTGCTTGAACACCGGCAGAGGCCTCAGATGTAGAAGTAAGAACTTGGCAAAGAATGCGCCCAATGATGAAAATAGTAAATAGAACAAAAATGAGTGAAGTGGCCGTCTAAGGTGCTGCTGTTTTTTTTTTTTTTTTTTTTTTTTTTTTTTAAAAACAGCCATGTATTACTTCTGCCAAGTATGTTTATTTTTAGGTAGGATTTGCAAGTGTGCACGCGGTTTGAATGAATTCTAATAAAACTTTGACGTCATCTGAAGGCCTGCCTCTGGCTCCTAGTTTGCAGCTTCTCACCCTCATTACCAGTGTTGGGAAGGTTACTTTTAAAATGTATTCCATTACATACAGAATACAGAATACATGCCCCAAAATGTATTCTGTAACGTATTCCGTTACGTTACTCAATGAGAGTAACGTATTCTGAATACTTTGGATTACTT